GTTGGTTATTTAGTGTTATTATCCAATTTGTTAAATAAGTGCTATCTATTCTTTTTACTCTTTCTTTCAGAATCTCTAAAATATCATTATAGTGTTTTATAATTACATATTTATTTCATATTTAAATACTTGAAGTGTATTATGTTGAATGTTTAAAACCTGAAATAGTTATTTGAAACTGAAGAAATTTCTATACAGTCAATTCCCTTTGATTTCTAAGAATTAAAGATCTAACTTTTCACTTTTCCTACAACTTTTAAGAACAGTATTATCATATTCGTTTGTTAGTATTTTATTTATAGATTTACATTTGGGAAATCTAAGAAATATGGATTTCATTATTAAGGTGATAGTCCACCAAAACATGTTTCAATACTTTAAAATAACTTAACTCATTAACTGTCCCTCACCTCTGTCTTTATTCTAATGTAAAACTTAAATGTTACTAACTTAGGAATTTAAATTTTGTGTAAAAGGTGATTCATCAATTGATACAAATCAGTCTACCACCAATTCCAAAATGTCAATTGGAAAGAAAATGAAACAAAAAAGGACGTTTCAAATGAAAGGTACCACAATTTAGAACTAAGTGCTACAATATTAGTTTATGTTATAAACCACTATCCAAAGACACACTAGCTAATACAATTAAAATTAAATTAACTAAAAATCTCACTGAAAACTGAACAACTCACATTCTCAAAATAACACTAAAACTTGTAAAATCATCATCTAAATGTGCAGTAAAACACTGACTTTCAGCTCCTTGAAGTTAGTCTTCCCTGATGGTCTTAGCTTCTGCATTAAGTTTTATTTTAAAACCTTATCACAATAAGTTAATATACAACTCCTTATATTATAATACTACAAAATATTTCACTTGATGTTTTAAACTTAAACCTAAAAACTGCTACCAAGATATATAAAAAAAAACTAGTCATATGTCTTATTGCTTTTTATGTCTTAAGTTTTCTACAGTAAAATATACTTAAATACTTGTCATAGTGAAAGATGTCTCTGCCTTAAGGAAGTATGATTCCTACACAGAGATATGCAAACTAAACACTTGCCTTGTCATAGTACCTGATTTCCTTGTACGTCCTAAGGATGTAAGCTTTCCATGCTGACACTGAGAAATAAAGAAATAAACCTTAGTAAGTTATATTTACTTTCATTTAACTTGTAGTATTTTACATCAAGCTTTTTAAATAATTAAATGTTTTTTTAAAATAGTTAAATTATTAAGCAATATAAAATATCTTATGTAGTGTGCATTTATCATCATGTTTTCTGAAATGATCATCAGAGCTGCTAACAAAGGTGAACTATAATTCATTGATCAGATTCTTTAGCTATCCAAACTGAGTGCTGTTGGTAGTGATAGAGCAAATAGGAGTTTAGGTTTTATCTACAGAAATAATGAATACAAGTTTAAAGAGGTTATAATTTAATTGTATATATCAGTGGTCAAGCCATATTTGGAGTATTGTCTTCATTCTTGGGCTCTTTGCCATAGGAAGGACATTGAATGGTTGGATAGACTTCAAAATCAAATAAATCAGCCTTTCAAACATTACCATGCAGACATAGACCTTCCAGATATTAAAAATATCAATTATCATGCAAAATACAAGTATATTATAGTCACCAGACATTACAAAAATCAGTTACTGTGCAACATACTTTAGTCTTTAGCATTCCAAATCACAAAAATCAGTTACAAACTGGATCCAGTTTTAATTACCTTTATCCAATATCACTTACATGTATTCCATATACAAGTGGTAAGATTAAAAAGCAGTAATCTGGATCCAGTTTTGATTACCTTTATCCAGTATCACTTACATGTATTCCATATATAAGTGGTAAGATTAAAAAGCAGTAATCTGGATCCAGTTTTGATTGCCTAGACTTTTGCTCAGGTTGATAAATAAATGTATAGCAAAATTTTTCATTTAAATAATAAATAAAAGGGTTTTTAGTTAATTTATGCAAAAGCAAAAACACCAACACAATATTAGGAAAGCTAGTGACTCAAATATTTTATTTAGAGAATAGTGTGTAATACCTGAAAAGCTAACATCTATGAAGTATTACATGGTAAGTGATTTTTTAATGAATGGCTGATGACTGCGAAGTATGTTGTATGGTAACAGATTTTTGTAATGTAGAGAAAGATGATGGCTGTGAAATACACGTATGTTGCATGGTAACTCATTTTTTGTAATGCCTGGAAGCCTGGTGACTGTGAAGTAAAGGTATGTTGCATGGTAAGTGATTTTTGTAGTGTCTAGAAGGCTGGTGACTGTAAAATACATTTATGTTACATGGTAACTGATTTTTGTAAGGTCTGGAAGGCTGGTGACTGTGAAGGATATTGCACTGTAACTGATTTTTGTGATCTGGAATGCTAAAGACTGAAGTATGTTGCACAACATGTATTCCATATACAAGTGGTAAGATTAAAAAGCAGTATGTGATATTGGATAAAGGTAATCAAAACTGGATCCAGATTACTATGTTTGAATGTTTACCACTTGTATATAGAGTACATTTGAAGTGATATTTAGTAAATGTAATCAAAATTGGATCCAGACTAATTTGCTTTAACATTGCCACTGTTACCAGTATATATCTGAAGCAATATTGAATAAAACATAACAATGATAAGTGTAAGACATATAAAGAAAATTTCCAACTAAAATTTTTACATATTAATTTTTATCTTGAAGTGGTCATTTCAGTAGGTTTTGGTTCTGTGCTTGTTTAAAAGATGCTGCACTCAAGTATGAAAAAAACACAAAAAACATACAAGTAGTGATTTTGTTTATAATTACCCAGTTACAACAAATTTAAGATCATTTACCATTTTTTGATGATTTACAAACTAATCAATTCTAATTTTGCACATACATCTCATGCTTTGTTGTATAATCTGACTTTAAACAATACATAAATTGTTTAGCATCAAATTGCTTATGCACATCCTTTGGTCATACCAAGAAATCAATGGGTTAAGGAATTATAAAATAATATACATTTGTGTGTCAAACTGGAACACAGTAAATATTTACACAATGAAACAGGTAGCTGTTTCAAATACTCACTTTCACTGAATTCATCCTTGATCTAGAAAATAAAAAATTATATATATATTAAACAAATTTCAAATAATATGTTCAATATACTATGAAACTGCATTTCATTGCTACAGGATATACATACATATACATGTATTTATTTACAACTTTATATTATGATTGGAACTAAGGAAGTTTTTAAACAAAAACTTCTGAAGTTCCATATCTAAAGCCAATTAGCAACACTATTTTACCAATTAGCAAAGGTAGGCCAGCAATGTAATTAGAAATATACAAATATGGAAGACAATCTGGTATGGTAATTAAATAGAAAGATTAAAGATAGTAAATTTCTACATAAGATTATATAATCTTAATTGACAGAGTGAAAATGGGTAAATAATGATTACAATATTATATTCAACATAAATCAGTTCATGATCTTTTAAAATCTTTAGTGACAAGATTCTGTTAAAAATTAGTTGGATATCCTTGCTGTTAATCTGAAAAAGGATAAAGAGAAGGTAAAAATTAATACATTCTATTCTTATGGGCAGAGGTCCATTTGTTAGTTGTATCATCTTTGCCTCAGAGCACTGAAACTATATCCTCCCTTCGAATGCCACAAACATATTTGGAGAAGTTTAGGGTGCTATGGAAGATAACCTCCCCTAGCTAAAGCTGAAAGATCCCTAGGTTTAGATGTCTCACCTAGCAGTTTTTCTTTGAGATTCAGGGGAGCCAGCAAGCTACTCTAAGCCTTTCTGGATAAAGCAAGATGAGTTTTTGATTAAGGTTCCTTTTCAAGTCCTACTCATCTGGAAGATAGTTTTCATAGAGAATGGACTTTATGGATATTATACTACAATATACGACACCAGACTACATTCACAAGAGATGTTTTAAGATGGTATTGTATTAATTAAAGAATACATGTGCCACCTGAACAGGCAACACTAAGCAATACAATTCATGATGGAAAGCTCCCATTTCGAGATATGATGATCACAAAAACTCAAATACAGCAGGAGTTCACAACAAACCAATAGACACAGGTAAAAAACCTTGAAAAGGAACCAAAAACAAAGGTAAACACCTCAACACAAAACTCACAGGCACCTACCTCAACAAGAAATACAGACACAGGTAAATATCTCAACAAGAAACCCATAGGCATCAGCAAGTACCTCAAAAAGAAACTCACAAACACAGGTAAATGTAAATATCTTGATAAGATACCCACAAACAGAGGTAAATAATTTGATTACAGACAAATCACCCCATAATGACAGTCATCATAAGCTGCCTAGTTTCCAGAATTTACAAGATTTGCACAGAATACGCTATAAAGAAAATCACATCAATTTAAACATTCATGTCAAAATTTAAGTAGATCATGCAAATACACTTTTCTTGGTGTTTATGTCTATTACGTAAAAAATAACTAATTACTATTTGTATATATTAGAATACTCACAATACCATCTTCATATAGAATTGCAAATCATTCATCTTGAAAGGCTTGGTAAAATTTCAATTACAATACCCATTAGATATATTCCTAAGGCTTTACAAAAAGCAAATAAAGAAGTTAAGAATGAAAAGATACATGTATAGAAGCCAGTTTTTGAAAACTCATGATATAAAGTTGTAAGCTAGGACTAAATTCCTACATAGTACTGAGAATAAAGATACATACAATAATTTGTAATGACAGTTTGAAAATTAATGGGAGCAAATAACACTCATTGCTTTTAAAGTAATATAAGGACATCACACTTCTATCTACAATAACATAAAATTATAGTTCAGCTGTTAACTGCATTGTTGAACAAACTTACCACATTTCCATTTTCATCTTTGAGAGGAGCTCCTGCAATTAGAAGAAACAATAATTACAATTTGATTTGTCATGATCACACATGTATAAAGCAATACACAAACTATGAATTTCAAGACACCTTGTACTTTACTTTTGTGAGAAGTACTCCTGCAATAAGAAAAAAATGATTGACAGAACAAATTGGTACACAGGGTACTTGTGTTGTGGTACAGATATGGAACATCAGTTAAAAGGACATAAAACAAATCAACCTTTACAGGATATTTGTCATGCCATGGTTGAAGAATAAGGTAAAACAAGTAATAAGACAAAAACAAATTAATCTTCACAAGGCACTTGTCATGCCCTGTAAGGTTCAGATACGTTATCTCAATTCACAGGACACAAAAACAGATCAACTTTTACAAATATACAAACAAACATTATTGAATCATGAACACTCAGAATAAATAAGAAGTCATCAAAACTCAATTGACTGAATGGAGATAACAGCGTATCACACAAAAACTTGATATATTCCTGAGAGTTTCTTTAAAAAAATAGTCTGTCCACTTCATATTGTTCTGATAGACAATGTAATGTGTTTTTGTATCAAATGACTTCTATGGTTCAATGAATGACAATTACAAAAAATTATAATTAATAAAAATATAGTTTTAGTTCATCTTCAACATTCATTTTAAACTTTCCCAAATGAGTATTAAGTGTGTATGTATGTATGTAAAACATTTTTCACAAAAGGGATCACCAGTTGATTTTTTGATTGTTAAACAAAATTCAAAATTCATCCATTTGTTCTTCATATTATTTTTGTTTCACAAGCTTACAGAAAAAAAGGGCTATGAATATTTTATTCAAACTTGGGCAAACCTACCAAAAAGGTCATAGAACTCTTTTCATGTTCATTATTGAAAAAGAAAGAGATATTTTTTATCAGTTTTTTCATCTCTACTAGTCAAGTTTCTCTTCGAAGCCATTCAAGCACCAAAGCCTACAGCAAAAACTGCTAGGTATACTGTGCCCAAATCTATCCACAGCTACTAAACAAACTACTGCAAAGGGCTATTTTTAAGTTGATTCTTGAAAGTTGGGATTTTCACTCTCTAAAAGTATTCTAAGTACAGTCTGATGCAGGTCTTATTTATGAAGCAACACACTCCAAGGCAACCTCCAGCAGTTTTGTGGAACACCCCATCTCTTTAATGAGCATTATAGACCTGTACAGCCATATGGTGCAGATTTACATTTAAGTTAACCTGGACAGGCACCATTTGCCAAAGAGTAAGATCAGGAAAGGGCAACTGTAAAGGGAAGAAGTAGAAAAGTAGGTACCCACCTTTTCAGAGTTGAAATGAGATATGAAGAATGACAATGGGTGGCAAGTATAGCCAGATGAGGAGGAGTTGGCCAAATGATGCAAGTAATGAGCAATAAATGTGTAAGGGCGTAGTCTACGTACCAGCCTGCACAATCTCTTCCAATAGAAAACAGAAGTGGGCAGAAAGGGAAAGGATGAGATGACAGATCTGGTGGGAGGAAATGAGGAAAATACAAGGATAATTACACACAAGCGAGATGAATAAACTGGTGAATCCATCCAGTAAGAGTGAGAGGAGAAAGACCAAGAGCAGAGGAGGAATTCTAGGGTATAAAAAGATGAGAAAGAGCACCATAGAAGGAAGCCATGTAGGTGACATAACAATACAGAGGCTGTACTGGATAAAGGCAACCATCCAGATCAGATATGGTATACAAATGAGATGAAATTTTTATTTTCAACAATTTCTGCTGATATACTAATTGATTAAACAAAATGTGCTGACTTTAAAATTTTTATCACAGTTTTAGGGTTAGTATATTTTTTCTTGGAAATTCATGTAGTCCATGATGATGTGGGAGGGCATCACCTGATTACCAACAGACAGCTCAATTCTGGAAATTTATCCATGTGGCAGAGAGTACTTGTAGATATACTTGGCAAATGAGATGAAACTGAAGAACAAACCATAAAATTGTCGGCAACAATCAATTCAACTTTGTCGACCAGCAAGTGTGTGTTGTGAAAGAATTTGAAATTTCTGTAATTCTCTTCATAGAATAAATGTTGATAGTAATTGTATTCATGGTTTAACACATGATGTTTTAGGTGATCACAAAACTAGTGGCATTTCCAAAAATGTTTTGCAAGCAATTAAAAAAAAATTACCTACCTACCTACCCACATTTTAAATCAGTTTAGATTTACTGCAAAAAAAGTATTTTTAATCCTGGCCTAATCAGTGTCCTTTATCCTAACAATCACTGGAATAATCCTGTAAACTTCATTAAGATCACTATTTATCTTTCTATCAAAACAAAATAAGCTAAAAGATCTTAATTCATCCCTTCCAGATAATAGATAACCCTTGTATCTCCAAAATCATCCTTGTACTCTCCTCCAAACCCTTCCCAATAAGTCCATAACCTTCCTTAGATAAGAAAACAGATCACTGTACTGCAAATGATGTCTAATTATGTGAAAAGAGATTAAAGTAAATATAAAAACACAAAAGGTCTAAGCAATGACCCTTGAGGTACTCCAATAGTAACAAGGGTGCAGTTTGACTGGATTACATGAGTAACCTTTTACTTCTTCCATCTTACCATCCTACAATCCAATTTACAACCCTTTCCCCCACCAGTGTGATTTGTGCAATTCCTTATATAAAAAAAAAAGTTTTCTACAAATTCTAGTACACCAAGTCCACACACATCCTATCCAACCAGTTTTTTTAATTATGCTTTTCTTTTATAGTAATAGTTCAGGATTTGCACATTTAGTTATTTTAGTTACTAATATTTATTAGTTTGATTTTAGTTATAGTTATTACATTTAACTACATATCATTTTAGTTACTAATAGTTATTAGTTTGATTTTAGTTATAGTTATTACATTTAACTACATATCATTTTAGTTACTAATAGTTATTAGTTTGATTTTAGTTATAGTTATTACATTTAACTACATATCATTTTAGTTACTATTATAGTTAACTGAGTGGTGACAACTTTGACATCTTTTGAGGTAAAATAACTCAGAACTCTACATTAATTAACCCCTTCACAATGTTCTTCTTAGGCTAGCCAGCCACCAAAATTGAATGATCAAAAGTCTCCAGTCAATATACTTTTGCTTTAGCTACATGGTTATTTTCTGCATTTCTGATACATTCTATTCACATACATTTTTGTTATAGTTAATTGAAAAATCTGTTTCCATCATCAAGATAACATAACATTCTCGAAAACATTATAAGACAAAAGTGAAATATTTTCTTTAATAAATTCATGTGAATTATCTTCTAAGAGAAAATCTAAAAGCTCAGCTATCTCGTCTTCAACAATAACCTTTCTGATAACATCTTTTAACACCAAATCCCTATTTCTAAATTTTACTTATGTTTAATATACTTAAAAAGAATCTTTGCTTTTAGTTTTAACATTACTAGCCAGCTAGCTTTCAGGAACTCTTTACGATTTCCTATTTTTTAAAAAGAAAATTCCTAGTTCTCTAATGGTTCTGTTAAAATTTCCAATTTATCAATTTAAACTTATCCCAATTATCTACCTAAATTGCCCTCTAACTTATATGTTTGTTAACGGTCAAAACAATCAACTATCATTAACTTACATTCAGTTACTTGTCATAGGTGGCTACTTTTTAACTGTACACAGTAAAAAAAAAAAAGCTTTCAGTTTCCAAACAAAGTTGATATCTGTAAAATTGTCATAATTGTGTAACAAATAAAGAATGAAGAAATAAACACTAAACAAGGTGCTAATAAATTTTAAAACACTTAATATCATCATAACATGCCTAAACTGCCAATGAAGTTGAAAAAAAGGGGCTTGTAACAGATTCATTTCTTGCAAAGAGCCAGTGAAATTTTTAAATACTTAAAAACAGTAAACCTCAAAGTTCTATCACAAGATCCATTAAAGTATATAAAATTATAAGTCTTATGATCAAATGTTACACTAGTTTGTACATATACATCAAAATTCAATTTAACTTCTTACTCACTCTATTTTTTCTTTTTTTAAAGTTCATTAGCTTACCCCATTCATACACTAAGAGACCAGCAATGCCTGACATCAGTGAACCAAATGCTATGAATGTGTATTTCATGGCTCGTTTGGAAAAACCATCCGACTTTCGTTTATCTTGCTTGTCTTTGGAATCGGATAATTGACTTTCTGATGATGAAGACTTCTCTTCTTTGAATTTTGTTTTCATTATTTGGTCAGCCAAACCTAAAGAAGACCTTGGACTCGCGTTGCCGCTGTCGGCAGGAGTAGTTATATCACCGCCAGATGATTCAAACTTAGAGTTATTAAGCTTATCTGATGAATATAACATATTACAAAATCGACTAATTTTTCTTTGAAATGCAACATGCGAATTAGGAATATTACTCAAAATCCAACTACACCTTGAATGGCCCTTTAAGCCTGAGGAAAGATGTCTCTGAACAACACGTTTATTCAACGATATTAAAGTTCGACAAAAGCACATGCCTACAGTCACAGCCATCTTTCCTTTTCTATTTCACGCTGCCATCTGGTACATATTGAAAAGTTGTTTGTAAATTTAATAATTATGGAATAAATATTAAACAATAAATTAAAACAAAATATTTTAAATGCTGAAGAACGTAAGTTGTGATACATTTTCGAGCGTCTAGTTGATATTCTGCCCACATATACAGTAGCGTAGCAAGAGGGGGAAAGGGGCAATTGCCCC